TTTTTGATCATCGCCCCCTATATAATTTTTCGAAATCTCCATAGACCCCCACAAAGGTAATTTTCAGGTAATTAAAATAAAACTATATATTAGTCTAAATATTTAATAAATCAGAAACAGTAAGTAAAGTAGCTACAGATTTTTTACTTCTTAATGAGATGAGTGTGCCTGGTGTTTCTTGGCAAGGTTCGCTATATTGGGTTCGAAATTAGTCAATTTTAACCGTAAATCCCCTCGAAGCTCCACATTTAATTTATTTCTGTTTTTAGTTAAAATTGAATTAACGTGACTGAAACCGGCTTCAACCATATACGAACTTGGAAACGCCAGCATAAATGGCTGAGCCATTTCGTAAAGTTTCACATATTTTTGCTTTATATTTATATTAGTCCAAAATTTATGTATTGTCAAATTTTTAATAAGCGTTTTTGCTTCAAGATCGGACAATAGTTCAGCAAGCTCATCTTGTATGTTGATGTCGACGTTATCAATTTGCGCCGAAAATGGCGCAATAATCCAATCAGGGATGTCGATGTTTTCCAAATCAACAAAGCGCAGTTTAAAATCGTCGCTTAATTTTTGAAGATGATTTGTATATATTTCCAAGTCTTCTTTTATTTTTAATTGTTGCAGATTTGAAAAATACTTATAATCCTTACGTAGCAATGAAGATCTAAATAAATTTAATTTTACTTGGAAGCCTAACAGTATTGTCCGAGCTTGGATAATTGTTACATCTTTTCCTTGCAGTTTTGTTTGAACGTCATTAAATTTTCCAAATAAGTCTGCTAAATAAAAAATATGGTTCTTATTGTTTTGGAGTTCATTGCTTAGAACAGGATTTATTTCGTTCAGAAATTCTGTCGTGGAGTCAAATAAATTGACGAGCCGTTGCAAGCATACACCTCTAGACAACCATCTAACCTCGGTGTGCAGAAGTAATTGGTTAAATAACTCATTGTTTTCCTCACAAAGTTTGGCAAATAATCTTGATTTAAGAGGTTGAGCTTTAATTTGATTAATAGATTTAATACAAAACTGTAAAGCTTCATGTAACTCTGAACTCAGATATTTTGCTACTAAGTTGTGTCTATGCAACACACAATGAATAGTACGAATACCGGGCACTTTTTCTTTGAGGCATGTAGCAAAACCTCGGTAACGCCCTACCATAGAAGGTGCGCCATCTGTGGCTACTGCTATTATATTTTCAAGCGGAATGTCATATTTATTTAAATATTCTTGTAAACATCTAAAAATTCTCATCACTTCCTTCCCATCGGTTTCAAGATATTTAGCAAATAAAAATTCATCAATGACTTCTCCTTTAATTTTACTGAAATATCTAACATACGCCATAAGAATAGCAGAAATGCCAAAAACAGATTCTTCAAGTTGTATAGAGAACTTGCAATTTTTTTAGCTCTGAAACTACTGTGTTTTCTATTTCTTCGGCCATTTCGTCAATACGCCATTTTACAGAATTTGCACTTAATGGCAAAGACTTTAAAACATTAGTAGAGTCTTTTTTCATCACATTCTCAATGACGTCTTTAATTGCAGGCACTACAATTTCATCTGCGATTGTGTGGGGTTTTCCCCTCTTTGCTATATTAAGCGAAATCTTGTACGAAGCAATTAATCCTCCTTCATTTTCAGTTTCAGTAGACTGTTTCATAAAACTTTTTAGAGTTGGTCGACATGTGAATTTTTCTTTGAGTTTTTTGAAAAATTCTAATTCTTCATTTTTTTTTTTTTTATCTGAATGAAGCCTTTCAAGATGATCTTTCATTTTTGACGGTTTCATGTATTCATTTCCAAAGTTTTCAGCGATAAAGCACTAAATGGTAGCTCGGTCGATAATCCCCGAAATGCTCGGGGCATTTTTTTTTTTCCCATGTGTCATGTATAGTTTCTAAGAAAGTTACGAAGGCATCCCTCCCCTTAGGCAGACAGCCCTCGAGGCTTTGCCATAATCACACACACACAAACTTCAAATAATCAAAATCTTGTAATCTGTGTAACAGTTGCAAAAAAATTTTAATTGAAATGTCTCCGTGGGCTGCATGAAACTGCTGCGGAGGCTGGCCCATGGACTGCTAGCTTGAAACCACTAAATTAGATAATGAAACATTTATTTAGTATAGATATAAAACAAGCTTATGAAGAATGAAAGGGCTATTTAAATAATGACAACTGTGTGGAAGGGCTTCTTAAGAATTAAAAGGTAAACAATGCAAAAAATTATTAGAATGGTTGAAACCTTGTCAGAGTATATCATTAGTTAATCCGTGTGTTGAACATAATCTTGTAAATTGCCAATAGCAAGCAATGCAATTCATTGCTACAAAGAACAGTGAGAAGAGAAAAGGCTAAAGAGAAAAATATACAGATGGTCAATATTGAAATTTATAGAATAAAAATAAATGAACAAAAAATGCATGTTTAAAAATTATTCTTAATAAAGACATGGGTATTTATCAATCACATTTATTGAAAAATTGAGAGAATTTTTTTAGACTCAGTTATCATTCATTATGTATATTTAGTTCTTTGATTAGACCAGGATTTATTATTTAGGGTTATTAGGACCAGGATTAATTATTTGAGGTATTGTTGCATAGTTGTCATGGATATTTAATATATGTAATATATAAAGTTTACATTTCTTTAAATTGCTTGTAATTTAACCTTTCAATCAGCAGATTTGTCTGATATACTTTTCTGTACTCTAATAAATGGAGAAAAGTAACTACACAGATTATAAAGTTGAAGGGTTAAGTAAAATTATTGGACATATTTGAGTATATAGGGTATAGAATGGGGAAATTCATAAACTTCAAAAAGAAAACTGTGTTTTTCTTACAGAAAACTGTGTTTTCAAATTGATTTTTCCTGAGTCAAATAGAGTTCTCTGAGTTAATGATGAACAGAGTACAAGGAAATACAGTGTGGAAATATTCCACATGATTGTTTAAAACCATGAGTTTGCAATTGTATGTATTGACTATGACCTTTAGTTTGATTTGTATGTTATTTTTGTACTATCTTTTTCTCTACTTGTTATTTATACATGCAACTTATGCTTTTTGTTAACTTAAAGCTTTTCATTGCTTTCTTACATTGTACAGTTACCACTATGGTGTAAATTACTTACTTTCAAAGCTTCAGAATTATTTCAAAGAATTTTGGTTTAAAAAGTTGTATTTAAATGGCTTAAGTTTTTGTCTGTAATATTTGGATTCATCCTATGTATTTAAAATTATAATTTATTTAACTATGTAATGTTTATTTTTCATTTTTAAATAAAAACAATCCCTTTTTTTTAAAGGTTTAATATTTGAGACTGAATTAGCATCTGGCGATGAAAGACCTTTCTTTCAAAGCAGTCCTGAGCAATATTGGAAGCAAGTATGTCTGATAGTAATATGCATGCTACATTGAACATTTTTATGTTATTCAATAAAATTGCATTGAACTGTTGAAGTCTAATTAACCTTTTTAATTTTGTATTTTTCTATTTTCATTTTTATCAGATAAACTGCTGAATAAAAGTAAAATAAAAACGTTTTAAATTTGATTTCTGTAGTATTAACTACCACATATTCTGCCGTATAACGTGAACTTTTAATACAGAAAATAAGATCAAAATTAATGGGTGCATATTATATGTCAGATATAAAAAGAATATATTAAAAATAAGGAAAAATCAGCATATGAAAATTAGATTTTTACATGCACCTAGATGCTGCTTATTTAAAAGAAACAATGTCTTATGAACTTAAAAAATGTTTCATTATCAGATAATATGAAAAGTTTGTCTTCTGTTGCATGTTTAGGCACATCATCAAATTCTGTTTCAAGTTTACCATTGTTGTTACTCTGATCTGTAAATAACCGTCATTCGTTCCATCTTTCACCAATACCAGACATTCTTGCTGCAACACAAATTTACTTCTTTTGCAAACTGAATGACTTTGCATTTGAAACCTGCACTCTGTTCTTTCGTTTGGCAGGAGCCATATTTACTTCTAAATCAACTGTATTTCAACTAAAGCAAATGTGAATTAAATATTTGCTTCTAAATCAATTACTTCCTCAAGCACTTTTCCTTTCCACACATATTGTTCCCCTTATCGCTTATCAATTCAGTATACTATATTATTTGAGTGCCTGGGAAAAGTCTTCAATTGAATCACTTCAAGAGATACGAACATTGCACTTGTATCTTTTAGGTTTCTTTGTAAATAAATTGCCTGTTATTATGGGGAATATACTTAAAAATGAAAAAATGTAGTTTGGAGTTATAGGTGCGCCTTGTATACCAGTGAGTGTTATGTGTATACAGGTCCCATACTGTTGTAAGTTCAGGTTGGAATTCTAATATTCTGAAATATGTGATATACAGTATATTATAGTTGCCTTCTATAGGTTAATAGAGGTATTCTTATATAAATAAGCCAAATGAACAGAAAAACATGAAATGCTGTTGATATAGATCTTATCTAAAACATAAATTAGCCAAAGGAGCAAAAACAGGACAAAGCAAAATTCTTTTTAATACATGAGGATATTACCAATCACCAGGTTTAGTCACAGAGTCTAAAGCAGTAATCATTAAGCAAAAGGCTCTATAATGTAAAACACAATACAAGTTTTGATCCAATTGCTATTAGTATTCCCAACTAATTCTAAATAGTTTTGACCAATTAAGAGGGGTGATAGTACTCATCCAGATGAGCACTAATTACCGTAGAACATAGGGTCGCATTCCACCCTGAGAGGCAGAAGAGAGGAATATTAGAATTTCAACCTGAACCTACAATAGTGTTTAAAGAGCGAATGAATGAGACCAAAAGTTGCACAATTAGTTTAGTGAAAATCTCACAGAGTGCACAAAACGGATAAAACCGAAAACTTGGCTTTTGGGTGTTAATTCGAGCTCAGACTTTGATGACAAACACTTAAATGCACATCTTTGATTGGCAAGGTCTCAGCCTCGCAAACATTTTCAACTAGTTAATTATCTAAATTATTATGGGGAAAAAACTGCTACCTTGATATCAAGTACAGGTAGCAGGTTTTTGCCCCTTTGCTATCTTCTATCCTGTCCTCCTGGACTTCTGTGCTGCGTTCATTCTACTCTACCTTCTATAGAAAACGAAGTTCTGACAGCTGGAACACAGCGTGAACTTTTCATGCTAATCTCGGCATACAGCGGAAGTTGGAGTTAGTTGATAATATTGAGTCCTTGATTAGATAATTAACTTGTTGCAATCATTTGTGAGGTTGAGACTTTGCCAACCAAAGATGTGCATCTGAGTGTTTGCCATCAAAGTCTGAGCTCAAATTAACTCTCGAACGCTAAGTTTTCGGTTTTATCTGTTTTGTGCACTCTGTGTGAGTTTTTCACTAAACTGATTGTGCAACTTTTGGTCTCGTTCATTTGCTCTCCCATACTGTTGTAAGTTCAGGTTGGAATTCTAATATTCTTCTTCCGTGCCTCTCAGACTATGTTCTATGGTAATTTATTGCTCATCTGGATGAGTACTATCACCCCTCTTAATTTGTCAAAACAATTTAGAATCACCCTATATATATGTATGTATAATCAAGAGATAATTAAATTAATATAATTAGATCACTTGAAAGTGTTAACAGGAAATAATATTTAAAATAAGAATCAAAGGTGAAACAAAAGCAAAACAATATAACAAAATAAATAGCAAATAGTGGAAGATTCTTTGGTATTTTTCAAGGAGCTGGCAAAAATATTTCAACAGACCCATATTTCTGAATTATATCTAGATAATTATCAAAGTAAAAGGTTAATATAATAAATTAAATATAATTTAAGATAAGTCAATATTAAAATGCCGTTAAGAAAGTTTTAATTATTTTAAAATGATTTTAAGAGTTTTTTAAATTGATCATCATGATATAATCTGCTCTGTTGTGGACTTAATTGTATGAAATATAGCAATATAAAATCAGAAGGCAAAGTAAGAAAAAAAAATTTTTTTTTTTTGAAATTACTAATTTGAAGAGTATTATGGTTAATTCAAAAGCCATCAATAAATGGTGAATCAAGGTAACTTAAAAAGGAAACATGTTCAACCTCTGTAAATATAAAATTTTTAAACTTTAAAAACAGAATTTAAAAAAAAATTAATTTTTCAATGAGAAACAGCTAAAAAACTAAATAATAGTAAAAAATAGAGCAGAATAAAACATTTTTGTGTAATATGAAGCAAAACAAAAGTAATTTAATTTAAAATGTCAAAATTTCTGGAAATGAAATGGACTTCTAAAACATTATTTAATAGGTAAATTACCCAAAATTTATAGCAAATAAGTAACCTACAGTACTAAATTTGTAAAAATTATAAATCTCTAAAATGAACAAAAATTAAAATTGAAAACAAAAGCATTAGAATTTGGTATTTGGAATTTTAATTAAGATTAGAAGCAAACGGTAATAAACTTAATTTGGTAAATGGGTACAAAGGCAAAATGTAAAGAAATAATTAGTTATTAATTTTGCAATTTCTGATCTGTAGATATATTCATCATAAAGTCTGAGATCTGGAAATGTGGGGTACTTAGCATAATTCTGGACTGTGGAGATTTCTGGATTTTAGATCACCAATTTAAACGGCTTTACTTTATAGGTCAGAATGAAAAATGCTGGCCTTCCACAACTATTCAAAGGGTGAAAGTTTTATTGTAGTATGGAGCATCAGTACAACGACAATCAATGTATTATTTGTCTCTGGCTCAGTGCAATTTCCCAGCCAGTAGGTGTTTGATGGTAACATGCAGGAATTTCACTTAAATCAGAAGAATGATCATATTTATGGCACAGAGGGATTTTTTTCGAGGTCCTGGATATTTGGTAGCCAGATATCAGACTTCATATTGTGTGTGTATATGTATATAAAATAATCAAAGGATAGAAGTTAAATAAAAAATTTGAATTAATGTATAGTTAATTAATTTTGCTCTATACTGCCCATTTTTAATAATTAATAATTTTAATTTGGAAATTTCTAAACTCTCTCTCTATGTATGTAAACAAACGTTTATACATTTATTTCTATATCTGTATATACTAAAGTAATATTGGGTATATTAGCTCTTAATATAAAGTTAATAGAATGTATCTAAATGTAATTCGCTAGTTAGTACAGTCAAAATTTTAACAGATGCATTATGCATTTACACTCGCACAAAGCTCTGTAACCACCTCCCTCACACATGCAGTGGCGTAGCTAGGGTGGGGCAAGGGGGCATTGATGTGATGATATTGTAGAATGAAATGTTTTCCATTCTTGTCACACAGAAAGGGGTGCAAAATCTTCAGTTGTCCCTGGGCACTGAAAACCCTAGCTACGCCTCTGCATACATGCCACGTCCCTCCCAGATACCAAAAATAGCTTCTCAGATGTTCACTGCCTGTAATATTTCAAAGTATCCCCACTGTTGATCCCGAAATTCATATTCTGGCCTTTTTGTATATTATGTACATTTCACATTACACATTTCCTTGTATCTTATTTATATATTTCAATTTTTCAACTTATATTTCATTAATTTTGCAAAGATTGCATAGTTTATTATGTCTCTTACATTGCTCATGTTTATTACGATTATTTTGAGTTCTATTTCATAGGTAAGGTAAAGATTAACTTCTGTTTATTATATATATATATATAAATAGTTTTAAATTAACATGCATGAAAGCGAGGGTATCAGGGGACACTTTACACAAGTATACAATTTTTACTACTTAATTTGCCTTTAATATCTCGAGCTTTCTAAAAAAAAAAAAAAAAAAAAAAAATCCACTCACTTTAAGGAAACTGCTACATTCAAAATAAATTCTTTATAGCACTCTACTTAATTTGGCTATTATATCTCAGTTTTCTAAAAAATCCATTAGCTTAACTGCTACGTACAAGTGAATTCTTTATGGTACTTCAATTTAATTCATCTCACTTTGGTCTCACTAATTGAATTAGAACTCGACTACGGGTTTGACTTTAACTAAAATTCCCAATTTAGCATCATCATTCTTACTTGAGTGAAAGATGAAACATCTTCGCATTTAATAATTATTGTTAATTGAACGAGGGTTGGTTTGTTTCCTTTGAAAAGTCAGCCAGTTTCTGATCATTGATGATAATTACCTACTTTATTAATGCAGTCAAAAGTCGTTAATTCGGACTCGTCGGGACTTCGGCGATTCCGGATTATCGATTTTTCCGGATTATAGATCATCAGTTTAAATCTGGTAAAATGGCATGCAGAAATTATAAAATTAAAAATATGAAACCGTAATTTACGAAATAAAGAACAATTATGATCTAAAGGGTATCAAAATTTACAAAAAGAAAGCTTAATATTTATTTGTTTACTTTATTAAACATTTCTTTCAATGTAAGTTGTTTAAGTTGCTTCGTTTTTTATGTGATAATACATTCTCTTTAATTCTATAAACAGACATAATTTCTTGTTCAGTTACAAAGTTCCGCTGTTCAAGTACTATAATTGCTGTGTCGAGAATACCGACTAATTTGTCAATCGAAATTTTTTGTTTTCAATAACCTCTGTCACTTTCTTCGCTATCCGAAGCGAATTATAATGACGAGGCATTTGATTTAAATCATATCAAAGACGGAGTACATCGAATACTACATTGAGTAAGCAATTACAAGCCAAATAAAATAAAAACATCTGCCCTTAAGATAAGGATAGTGCTAACAGATCAACTTCCAATTCATTGCACCCGGGGGCGGGTTAAAGATAAACAAACGTTAAAGTTTAGATAAACAAAGGATATGGCTTTATCCATTTTTTGCAGCAATTCCACTTTTTGTTTAATGGACTCCGAAAGATACTTTCGCTTTGTATATCCTTTACATATTAGTAAATATATATCGGAAATTCTATTTGACATAATCGAATGTTCAAGCTTACTTTTATAAAATTGCTCTAACAGTCTGCAAAAAATAATAATTCGGATCCAATTCGAAGATTAAGGGAACAACGCAATCTGCAACTTTAACTGAAATAGATAATTAGATAATTTTAGATTAGCTTATACCGTCCGTTATACATTAAACGCACTTTCGTAAACGTATTTTGCGCACGCGCACACACAAATTCGCAGCGGTAAAGGTCTTATGCGCATGCGTCAATGCGACGCATGCGCAGAAAGTTTGTAGCTTTGAGGTCCGGATTATAGATCATTCTGGATTATGGGTGTCCGAATTAACGACTTTTGACTGTATTCTATTTAAAAGTTTGAATTTCTATTATTTTTGGGATTAATCTTCTGGGTTACTACATTTAGATATATTCTACTATATATTAGAAGATAATATAATCAATATTACTTTAGTAAATAAATTATTATTATCTTACTTTGCAGCGATTGTGCAAGTATTAGGAAATTTTATTTCAGTTTCAATTAATCAATATATCTGTATATATATATGCACATATATACACACACACATATGTATTTAAATTATGTAATACGTTTTGATAAAATATTTGCTGTTTTAATGTTCTTTCTCCTGAAATTAAAGTATATATGAAGATTTTTTTTTTCTTTTTATAGGTTTTTGATATTGGTGCAAGCAATATTATCAGCTCAGATTCAAAGATTATAACTGGCTTAGTTTTTCACAAAATTTCTGCTGATAACTATTTTGTATTAGCCACAACACCGAGGTATAATTGTATTTATTATTTAAAAATAGATTTACAAAGTCTTTCCAGTTTGTATATGTAATTGACTAGTCTCTCTCTCTTTTTTTTTCATCTTTCAGCCGTCTTTTACAATTCATGGGCAGTGCTAATGTTGGAGATCCCCCTATACTGCAGAATGTTTTTAATTATTATAAAGATGTACCTGGTAGTGTATTTTTATACATCCACTTTATTGAAGTAAAATGTTGATAATTTGGGCGTTATTTTATAACTTTGTTTATTAGAGAAACCTTTGTGATATTTGCTTGATTTCTGATTTTGAAGATTGTCTCTTAACTTTTAAGCTGGTAGGTTAGGACAATTTTATTTTAAAATTCATTAATAATAGTCAAATGTGGAGATAAACATATAAGCTTGTTATACTTTAATTCATTTGGGCTTAATTATGTAAATAAAGTACATGTATTTCATATAAGAATTAGTTGCAATGAATGTGAAAAATTAGTTTGATATTCAAACTCATTAATTATATATATGATACACTCCCCCAGATCTCATGGTTATTTATAGAGCTTTCATTGTTGCATTTTGACATCTTAAAGTGACAAAATTAATTTGTAAAACAGTAAATATCAGTGGTATAACTATCAATCATGAAATTAATACTGTTTAATATATCTCTGTGTTTCAAATCCTAGTAATCCCAGCACTAATTTTAAATAATCTGGATTATGTGATACTTTTCTATTTATTTTTCTGTGTTTGCATAAGCCTATGTATTAATTATGTCATTTTTATTAGTTCATGTGATTTCAATAATGGTATAGCTTCTCTTTGTAGTGTGTTTTATTAGAGTCTACCAGTTTGAACTCAAACAAATGTCTTTCCTGAAATTAGGATGAGTTCTCTCCCACTTTGTCTTAAGCACAGGAATCACCTTTCCTTTTATGTTGAAGGGATTGTTACATTTATTAAGAAAGTGTATGTGTTATGTCTACTAAAATGTAATTTCTTGCAAAGATACTAAATGTTTTATTAAAATTTTTACTTTCTGAAGTTACAAGTACTCTTGTATATCTAAATCTGCTGTTTAGGATGATTTTGCTTTATTCAACTAGAAATGTGCACTTAGAAAGAGGATGAATATATAAAGGCAAAAGAGAGAGATGTATAGGATCATGTGGGCTCATAACACACATAGCAGCACAACACACTGGGGGGGGGAGAAGAAGAGAGTTTATTCGAAATAGGGTGTTTTTAACATTGATATAATTTGTGGCTTAAATGCCATCCTGGTGGTCATGGAAAATTTTGGTACTGCATGTGATTATCATGAATTGCTGCTCAGACATTATTGATAGTCATATACAGCTAGGCTGCAAACCACTGGACGACATAAAGTTGATAGTACTCTTGGCAAGGAATTACATTCTTGAACAAGAACTCTTTGTATTATTTCAGCAGTCTAAAGTAGAGGGGGTATTTTAGCACAGCAGCTAATGAATGGTAATCCTTTATTCAAATAGGTTTCAAATGTATTTTTTCACTTTAATGTATATTGGTAATTCTAATATACAGTCTGCCACATTTATTTATCATTTCTTTTTGCTGTTATTTGATCACATGTTTGAAGGAAAGATATTGAATTTTTTTTTTATTCTATGAAGCTGTTGATATTGAATTATGAACTACTGAAATTTAAATTGGCTAAATTGAAGACGAAACAGCGCACCAAATTTGGTGATTCCTATGTCATTTAATGATTTTATCCTAGTAACCCTACGTTTTCATTCTTCGTAGTCGTTTATTTTCATAAATTTCTTTTTGATAATTGCAATTAATGGGATTGTGAGATAATCCTTCATTATGGGATATTAGAACAACAGCAGTATTGTTAAAGTTGTAGCAAAAGCATATTTTGCCTTGCTTAAATAAAAACCACGAGTAATCTAAAATAAAACTAATATTTATTTCATAACTTAAATTAAAACAACTAGGCTGCAACAGTAGCCTTTACATTAAAACCAATGAGAAAAGAAAAACCAGCAAATACCATCGCATTCCATCAGTTCTGGCATAAAAATACACAACATCGGCCAGTCCTCTGATACTTCGTTATCGGCCAACCAGCGGCAACCACAAAGTTTATCGCTAATTATTGACCTCTGAATCTAACTTGCATGTAGAAAAACCAAAAAAAAAAACAGAACATTAAGTCAACAGATATATCATCTAGTCCAGCGGTCATCAACCTTTAGAATTTCACGGACCACTACATATATAACTTTATATTTGGCAGACCACTAATATGATTTTTTTTAAAAAAAAGGTATCAGCTAACTAAACATATTTCATTCACATTGAAAAATTACATGAAAAGTACAAAAATCTTAATTTTTTGTACAGAAAGCTTATTTGTTCACTGAAAAGGAACTTCACAAAAAGGCAAGAACAAACCAGCCAATGCAAAGCAATATCAATAAACTGACAGTGTTATGCTGCCAATTCTTAATTATTGTAAACATAATAATCGCTTCGCCAGCAATGGCACCATAAATCAATAGTTAGGCAAAACGAAAACAGAAACTTCCAGTGATGCAATTATAAACAAGAATGCAGATGGTTCTCATAAAAATCCATCAAGATGCCTATTGACACGAAGAAAAACTGTGTTATTAACGACCACAATGGCATATGTTTGCAATTCAAAAGGAAAGAGAATTCCAGTTCGGGCTATTATTGATAACAGCAGCATATCTATGGATACCAACTCTCACTTTCAAATGTTGCTAGATACACCTGCAAACATAGCTAAAAAGTTGCTAAATTAAAAAGAAATTTCGCTAGCTAAAATTTAAATAAAAAGTATAATCCATATTCCATAATAGGTTTTGTTACTCAGAATTTTTTAAACTGAATCTTCATAAAAATATAAATAATGTTCCAATTTTTCTGCGGACCATCGCAAAGTTTTCACGGACCACCGTTTGGCGACCGCTGATCTAGTCTATATAAAGTTTTATGTGCACGATGCCGAGCTTGTACAACTGTCTAATTTTTTAAAATGAAAACAGATCACTGTGTACATGGGAAGAACAACAGTAATGTATTATATACGACGTTTAATGTATCATTTTTATATTTTTATTTGCATTATTGTATTAATTGTAAACTTTTTAAATTATCATTTTTGTATCTTAAATTGTACTTTTAATTGTTTTCTTTTGATTTGTTGACAATGTTCACCAAGTTATAAAAAATACTGATGGTTTAATGTTCTTTTTGAAAGAAGTCATCAAAATCAGCAACTCATTCCCCTTATGAGTAACTCTAAAATTTAGAGGAATTAAAACTTTAATGGTTTATTAAATTAATTTATCAACTCATTTTCACTTATGTATTCATATTTATTTCCATATTTAAAAATAGTATTTCAGCAGTGACATCTAAAAAGAAACTGATTGAATAATGCATGGATGCCATACATTTTTAAAAGAACATTGTCTTTCCGTTTTGTGCAAATTTAATCCTTTACTAATGCATAATAACAACTTACTTTATCTTTGAAACCAGTAAATATAGGGTCTGGGAAGAAAAAAAAAAAAAAAAAAGTATTTCTTGGTACTTCTTTTATTTCAAAACGAACAGTCATAGATAGACATATTAGGTCTGTAGTAAATTGGGCACATCCAGTTAGATAAAAGAAATTATAGCGCTTTCTTGTAGAAAAATAAATAAGTTAGTATTTAACTCTATAATGAAATGAGAGAGAATGCAAAGTTATATGAAATTAACAAAGGTATCAATGTCTACAAATTTGTTAATATGTGCATATATAATGGCAGAAAAAGCATAAGGAAATTGGTATTCATTTAAAAATAGGTTTGGGTATTTGTTGCTCTTAAATTTTGTAATCCTCTCTATATAAATTTGTGTTTATAGATTTTTTTAAGTGATTCTTTGAATACTAAGTTTGCTGTGACAATTATCTGTTGTTCTTTCCTTACAGAAAGCTATATTGAACTTCCTGGAGATTTACAGTATAGCAAACTTCAGTTACATTATCCAAATTCAAAAGCCTTACCAAAATCGTTTGCTTGGATGACAGGTTAGTATTAAAAGTAGTACTTGTAATTTTGATGCAATTAAAATCTTATGCTAACAAGCATATTTTATTTGTTTTCTTTAAATTATTTAATAAGTTAATTTACATTTCATGTATTTTTTAATTTTTGTTACTTGTGTGAATGTTTCTTATGTATTTTGAGCAAATATGTTAAATTCTAGTCTGCTTTTGTGTATGGACTGTAATGATTTTTAAATAATGTAAAATATGGATAAATACGAGCATGGAAAAGTATTCATGATTTGGTGTTTGATTTTTTGTAGAAGCTTTTCTTAGTTTTTATATGAAACATGTATTTACTTTGTTAAAAAAATAAGCTATTAACAGGAATTTGAAATTAAAATACTGAAGTATTTTTTCTTCTAGGACGCATTCTTATGTGTGAAAATATATTTTATTTTTAAAATATGCTGTTATCATAATTTGAAATTAAAGTATTGAAATGTTCATTTTCTTCTAGGACCCGTTGTTTTACATGTGGAAATGTGTTTTATTTAAGAAATATGCTGTGATCATAGTTTGATATTAAAAGGCCAAAATATTCTTTTTCTTCTAGAACCTGGTGTTATGTATGGAAATATAAATTATTCAGCAAAACCTCCTCAGAATTTAATCATCAACAAAAAACTTCTTTCGTATCCTTTCATTAAAATTTCATCCTCTTATTTGTTGCAAAACCAAAGTACAAGGTATACATATTTTTCTAACTGCAAATTATAATATGGAGTTTTTTAATTTGAAAGTAATATATCTTTAATACTGAAATAGATATCCTGATGACAAAGGGGAAACAAAAACACCATTATCTATTGTTCTTACAGAATTTCATGTTCTTGTATTATTTTGTGATAGGTAAGTGTTGTTGTAATTGGATCATTAAATTTTTTCTCTGTTTTATAAGTGTTTTATTTATAACTGAAATTTATACCCTTATTTGTTTGTCAATCTTCGAAAAAGAAATAAAGCTCTTACTTATACGGTATTCTTTTTTATACACCTGTTCAAAAGAATATTTTGTTTCTCAGGTTTCATGGTCCACTAGCTGTTGATTGCTGGTAATTTGATCCGATTTCAAATCCTGGTGAACAGGCTGGTTGCATGAGTTTTTTTGGTAATGTTGCCTTACGTAATGTGAATATGTCATGTTTCTTTAGAAAGCCTTCCGCAAAGGCATCCATTTTTTTAGACGGATAATCCTATTCTGCTTTTGTCATAATCCAGTCTCATTGTTCAAACATAATCTTCCAGATGAATATTTCTATGACTATAAGAACTGAGGAAGCCTGAAAGCTATGGACATACCATATAGTAGGACACAGGTTTATTATTCCTAATTATTTACCATATTTACTCACATATTTTTCCCACAAGCATATTTTTCTCACAAGGTTTCTGAAAATTTTACAAGTATTCTTCCCTTCCCCAAGACCTTCAGAAAGGGAGCATCTCTCAGTTTTAAAATGGATTCATCCGCATAGAATTGTTTTCATCTTACTAATTGATTTGTTGTGGATTTTTGGATGCATGGACTTTGATTGATGATGCAATGATAGTGAAGAATTTGATGAAATCGGGGATATCTAATGCTCGTTATGGTTTTGGAGATCACACTTGAGAAGACAGACTGTGAATAGTAATAAAATTTATGACAACAGTGACAATGATAATGATTTGCAAGTTGTAGCAGAGCACGCAGACAGTAGTTCCAGCAGCATTAAATGAATTAATACCTGGTGAATAGCAGTGGATAACAATAAAATGTTACAGATTAATTTTTAAATAAACCGAAAAAGCAATCACAGTGCAAAATCATGTACAAAGTTGTCTGAATGATGGTGAAATTGAAAATAATAACCAATTTTCAGAAGCATTAAAGTACTGGGAAAAAAGAGTTCAGCAAGAACTCTTTCTAGGCATGAATTTGCTGCCTGTACTTCCCTGCTTCCATCCTCATATGTTGATTGCTGTATTGAGACACAGGGAAATATAATTTGACCTTGCTCTGTGGTTATGATAAATATCATGCTATGATCATGCTTGGAAAGTAATGTAATTTGAACCAATGACATAACTGTAGGAGGACTTGAAATCAAGACATGGTATATTAAAGAAATGTTACAAAACTGTATAATTAATATATTTTATTCTTATTTTCAGAAAGAGTGAAAAAGATCAGCTTTACGGCTTATGGAAATTTATAGATTAAATATCGATTTTGTGAAGTTGGTTTTTTGTTTGTTTGTTTATTTGTTTGTTGCTTTTTACCAGTATTATTTTTATGTTAAAATGAATGAAAAATATCAATTAAAAAAAAAGAAAGAATCCCAGCTCCTATACTTATGTTTAGAAATTTTTTATACTCATTATGAAAAATAAAAAAATAAGAAGTTTGGCTCCCACCATACAACAAAACTGACCGGGATATTTAGTTCCATAATTTGCAATTTGTGATATCATTTTCAACTTGCATTGAGGGATCGGTTAACTAAGTTAGAATATTTTGAAGAAATAGGTTTAAATGAAGTGCAGCAAAAAATGTGTACAATTTAATATGCCATGCCCCCCCCAAAAAAAAATTGTGGTAACCACATCAGATTTATTTTATTTGTTTGGAGTATTTTGTATGGTGATTTTGGGTTTGTTTATTTTAATGTTATTTAATTTTAGATTTTTGGTCAGTTATATTGTTTGTTCTTATTTCATGTATTATATTTATTTGTTTTTATTTCATGTATTATATTTGTTTTTATTTCGTGTATTATATTTGTTTTTATTTCATGTATTATTTTCTTTATTTGTAATTTTTATTTTAGCCATTTAATTTAAATTATAAGGGAAGCTGAAGTAAAACTGAGGGCATGTGTTTTTACTGTACCTTCGTAGCAATTATTGTTGTGAAATTGGCAGTATTTTGGAAATTTCCAGGAAGCGTGTTTATGAAGCCCAAGGAGAGATTTTTCTAGAAGACTCCAAAAATATCTTTGTTATCCATGAGTACTTGTATAGATAGTAGGCTGTGAATGGTTGTGGCCTAATAGGTCAAGATTTTATCTAATTTATATTATTGAGCTTTCTGTTTTGTTGTCTGAGAAGATCTTCGATACTCATCACCCCTTTATGGAGAATATCAGCTCATCTGTGTGTTCTTTGCTATTTAGAGCTGCTTTTTCTGTTTTTGTCTCAAATTTTATTCATCTCCATTTGAAATATGTTTGTCGTTTTCTGGCCCAGTTATTTAGGCAGATGTATATGAATTAGTACTGTGCAACAATATGATGAAAATATTTTTTTGTTAATGATATAGGCCATACAAATGGCCAAGTGGTTAAAACTACTGAATTTGCTTTTGAAATTGCAGTTCATTCAGGTTCAAACCAATGCAAACAGGCTAACTACAAGGGTGTTTTTCATATTTTCTCCATGTGCAACACAACTACATCGAAGGTATTCCTCCGTTGGGCAGATAGTTGTCATGCGCTTTGGTAATCTAACATGAATGGCATAACTGAAAATGTATATGCATAGTTCTAATTTTGATTGGCTTATTCAGAATATACTAGCATTTTAAAATTTCTTATTTGGATAGTTTTATTTTCTCTTTAAACAAATTAAATTCAGTTTGTTGTTAGTACTTTATCAATGCTCCAATATCATGATTACTATTTTCCTTGAAAATTTATTTAAATATATGTATGTGTGTGTGTACATATATGATAAAAAGTGAGAAATTTAGAACCAATTTCACAAAAATCCAAAACAAGTGAAATTCAAGCATATTGCATGGAAATAGTTGGAATAATTTTGTTTTTAAATTAAAAAAATTGTGATACTGTGATATATATATATGAGCGGTCAAATTTCAAGATGATAGGGGCCGCATTTCCAAAATAATAAAGCCGAATTTGAATATTAAAAAAATTGTTAAGTAAATTTTTGAGAATTTTGCAATATATATTTGGTTAACATAGTTGTATATAAATATGAATAGATAAATCTCATACCTCCTGTTTTGTCTTCCGAAAATTTAATTCCCAGAAAATATAAATTTGTAACTCTTGTATTGTGCAAATGAGCATTCTTTCTTTAAGTAGAAAACCAAATATTTTCTTCTAATTTTCTTTATCCCCCTCCATTTATAATCATTGTTGTTTGATTTTAGTAAAAGTAAACTGAAATTAGAAGCATATGCACTGGTTTACAACTGTGTAAACAAATTTTATTTGAGTGTATTCTAAATCATTATTTTAAAGAAAAGGTTGAGTACTTTTTCTTTCTTTTTTTAACTCATAAGCAGTCTTTTTGAAAGATTAAATTTAAAAATACTGGTCAGCGTGCATTGCAGAGAAATTTTTATTCAAAAAAGAAAAATTATTTAAAAATAAGTTATTAAATTTTTGGTTTTTTGCATAAAAGCTAATTTTGTTTTTGCACTCAGTTAACATGAGGATCAACATACTCATATCAAATCTAACTTTAAGTAACTGAATTAATTCATTAGATGAGATAAAGATTATAAATTACACTTTTTTTATCTGATGTTGATGCATTTGAATCATCAGATTTCGGGAACCTTCAGAAAGATTTTAAATTCCAAATATCGGATTTTAAAACTTTCTTCATCACTCGAATCTTTTGAATCCAAACCTAAGAAATCATTAAACATTTTATCCCCAAACTTTGAGTGACTAGTTTTACTGATGCCAGTGTAGAAGAATCTATTAGAAAAAGAACATGATTACAGTTTCAATAGTATCTGAATTATCATTTTAACTCTTGACTGCCCTTAGTGCTACACTTTCAGTATGGCATCCAATGAAATTTGTGAGAATTTTAAACTAATCAGTACAATGCGAGTCATTAAAATTTCTCAAAACGGAACTACTCTTATATACGGCGAGAAACTCCACTGTGCCATATTACTATCTAAATTTTTTGTCTACATTTTAAACTTTAAGCAAACTTCAACATGTCTCCAAAAACGCTGTTTTCACACATGCAAAAACCACATTTTCAACACACAAGTTAAGCTTAAAATGCAAAACAAAAACAAAAAATTTAGATAGCAAAAATGTAAAGTTTCTAACCAAAAATATTTAACAAGAATCCATGTACACAGCAATATGTTTTAACTTTAAAAAAAATCTACGAATTGCACAATCTAGGCAGTGAAGGAATCTACGAACTATACACACTTCACTTTAATAAATTAACATAACAACAATAAATTTCAAAGAATACCATATACACAGCATTCTGTTTAAACTTAAAAAAACGTCTACGAATTGCACAATCTACGCATTGCGCACAAAACAACAAAATAAACTAAAATAAATAAATTACAAACAATTCAAATAACAACAGAAATTCATAGTAAAAAAACAATGAACATAACATTCTACAAAATAAAAACAATAAAATAAAATGCACATAGCAGAATACATACGTGAATAAAATTTCGCCAGTCACACAACGTCTGTGAACTAAAGTGCCACGATTTTGCTATATCACATGTCTTTCTGTGATTCAAAATTTTGAAAGTAATAATAAAAACCTCCTCCAAAGTTAACTTACTACACGAAAACCACGATCCAAATCTTAAACTCCGCTGACAGCCACATACTTTACCAGCAATCATTTGAGTGCAAACTCACACAAGTCTATCAGAAACACCATTCTTCGTCCAATTTGCCATATCAGCTCAGCATTTTGGACACGCTAAACTCCATTTTAAAAGTCCTGACTCCCGCAGAAATTCCAAAAATGCACTCCTCTCCGCATAAACGCACCCGTGAACAAAAGACTCATTAACAACTTCAACATCGTACTTTTTAATACTAAATTTACTTTCCACA